GCCTCCTCTTTCTTTACTTACTTTTTTTCTCCTCCCTCACTCTCTCGCCCTTATCCACCTCTCGTCTTTCTTATTCTTTTTCCTTCCTCTATTGCTCTCCCCCTCCCCTCACCATCCTCTTCAACTACTTCCTCTTCCTAAAAATTATTCTAAATTCATCATCAAACTAAAAAAAGTCAAGTTATCCTTAAAAATATGTTTATATATATATATATATATATAATTATCCTAAAATTATTATAAAAATTAATCATAAAAAATTATATTTTATATTTTCTATAGTAACTTTGTTATATTCGAAATTGAAATAAGTTAAATTCGATTACTTAACCTATTTTAATATTAATAATTTTAAAATATATTTTTAGGACAATTAATTATCAAAACTTTGATAATTCTATTATGGTTTGATTCTAACAAATTTTTTATTAGTTTTTAATTTCATAATAAAATTATATAAAATTAATATATTTATGAACGAGTATAATCTAAATATAATTCAATTGTAACGTGAGTATAACTAGAATGTAAGGGATTCGACTTAATCTAACTTGATTCGACTGATCTGAAGGGATTTAACTCAAAATAATTTAATTTAGATTAAATCTACTCATAGATGGATTATGTTTGAAACACTTTTATTTAAGAGATTATCAATTAAAACAAAAGAGTGCTCCTTGATAAAAACTAAATATATGAGTATCATCAAATAAAAATTTATTATTAATTTTTTAAAAAATAATAATAATAATAATAATAATAAATAATAAATAATAAATAAATAATAATAATAATTATTATTATTCAGGCTGCCAACGGAAAACGCGGGTCGAGATCGCCAGGTTGGAGACGGCTGCTCTCCTCTTCATCGCCCTTTTCTCGAACCCCATCGCTCTTGGATCTATCTCCTCCTCCTCTTGTTCTTCTAATCTCTTCTTCTTCCTCCTCGCCAGTATCATCTTCATCTTGATCCTGCATTCTTCTTCTTCTTCTTCTTCTTCTTCTTCTTCTCCATATCAAGATCCCGGTTCTTTTCGAGTAGGATCCTGTCGGCGTAGATCTTTAGCCCCCATCGAGGCTGATGGAACAGGACGACGGCGAGGCGGTGACGTCCAACGGGAGATCAGGGAATCCTCCTCATCTCCTCCTCCTCTCGGGTCGATCGCTCCCCGTAAACCTAGGAACCCTTCTTCCCTTAATCCATGTCCTCCTCCTCTGATCGGGGTCCTGCCGTTGTCTTTAAAGATGCCTTCAGTGGTGGTAGGCGCACCCCGATCGGAACTGCTAGACAAGCCGGTGATGGCCGACGAGGAGACCGGCGAATCCTCCTCCTCTTAGGTCGGTCCCCTCACAGTAAACTTAGGAACCCTTCTTCGCTTTGATCCATCTCCTTTCCTCCTCCTCTCCTTATCGGATTCCCGTTCTTGTCTTTCAAGATTGCTTTCGGAGGTGGTAGCGCACCCGATCGAGGCTACTGTAACACAACGACAACGAGTCGGTCGCTCCCCGTAAACCTAGTAACCCTTAACCCCTTGATCCACCACCTCCTCGTCCTCTCCCGATCGGGATCTCCGTTCTTTTCTTTCAAGATCCTTCCAGCGGTGGTAGCACACCCCGATGATTACTGCTCGAACTCGACGACGACCAGCTGGGATTGGGTAGCGATGGCCCAGAAGAAGAGTGGTCGGTCCTCTCCTCTTTGATCTGTTTCCAGGCCTGTTACAAATTCCATGACCGATTTGATCTCTTCCTCCTTTCTTATTGTTGTCCCTAACAATCTTTAGATCTTAAGAACATGTAGTTTCTCTCTTGGTTTTGATGCAGATCTCTTGTAGACTGTTCTCGTTTATGTGAGATTGTGAAATTACAGGAACAAGGTTCGTTTGTATATGAATGGGAAGTCTGGCGCTGGTTATCACCTCTGGTTCTTCTACTAACAACGAAGAATCTTTACCTTCAATAAGATTAGACAAGATTCATATTAGGGATTTTGTGAGATTAGATATATGGTCATGTTTAGTCTTTGATAACCCTTAAGGCGTGGGATACGGCAAACAACCCTAGCGCAAGTTAGGTACCATAAGTTCTTGGGTAAGGGGAAAAATGGTAGGAGTTTATTAGGGTCTAGCGGTGAATTTTTTTATTGGACTCGGCAGCACCATCTTCAACTTTCTTGTGGCTTGAGTATGCCACATTTTACTGAAACTAGGAAAATGTAGTCTACTCAAACTATTCTGCTCTAATATTTATTATATTGGATTCCTTTGATTTTTTTATGTGCTGAAATTGTTGTGTGGTAATTGAAAATGTTCAAGTGTCAAGATGGAAAAAACTCACTTAAGACATGGTACTTCTTTTGTTTTCTAAATGGATGATGTTCTGCTAGGAACTATGCACATACAGTTAAGAGAATTTATTCAATCTAGCTTCTTTGTGCATGCTAAATCTGTCTTCCCATTTTCATTCTGTTTTGGCAGTGGCTGAATTTTTCATTATGTTGTAGTCTTATGTTTGACTTCTTCAAGCGCTTACTACTGGAACACTAATCTTTAGCATATATCTTAATACCTTGAGATGTAAACACTGTTATGAAATCTTTATGCATTATGCTTATTGCCCAGTTTTTATCAATAATTTTGGGTACTTTTTCTTTATGGTAAATTTCACGGGTGGTTTTTCATGGAATCTCTTGGTTATGTATTTATACACAAAATTGCATTTCATTAACTGATTTTTCACTTCTTTAATTTTTCCCAAGGTTCATAAATTTTCAGGTAGTTTCTCGGTTAGTGCTTGTTTATAGTGCTTTTTTTAATGTATAACTATCCTTATAAAGTTTGAAGCTAGTATGTCTATCTTGCGAGCATTAATATAACATATCTGTGCCTCCAAATATTAAGATGCTTTAGATGTACCCTTCCCATTAACATCCACTTGAAAATCTCAGGTTAACTGCTTTTGATATGTGATTAACATTACCTAGTTTGAATTAGAATATATATAAAAGATACCTTGAGAGATGTTAAATAAAATTTGAACTAACAATCGTAAGACAATCTGTTAATGGCGATTAACTACAAGGATACATGGGCAAGTTTTTTTGGTTTTGTAATGAAAAAGAGGCCTAAAATTAAATTTAAAGTAATTGACTTTTGAAGGATATGTATAACTTTACCACCTTTTCTTATATTTTTTGTCAAATGATGAGAGAGCGGGAGAAACCTTTTTTTCATCATGAGGTCAACAACAAGAAAATTGTGGTGACTTGGAACATTGGTGTGGCTAGTGTTTCATTATTTGTTATCTTGATTTAAACTTGTTTCTCAAATGGAACAAATATGGTATTGGATTTGATTATTCAAAGTGCGTTAAATTGATGTTGAAACCATGCCTAGTTTATGATAGCTTTTCTAATTATTTGTTTTATAAATGATGCAAAACTCTTAACAATATTATTTCTTTGGATGACCTTTGACTAATATATTTTGTTGTGCGACTAAACTCTAGCATTTCGAGGTCAAAAACATTCATTTCCTTAACATGAAGTAATGACCAGTAGCAGCATATATATAAATGTTATTATGTTGCAACAATGGAACATTCTTTACTCCACTGGCTCATGGAATATTTACAGTTGTAGTCATCTTTATCACTAATAAATTTAGCCTAGACTAATGTCATTTTGATTGGTGCAATACAAAAAGGTTTATTTCGTATGATTAGCATGCAAATTTAAGCACCATATATTAGCATAGATGTCATCAATGATAAGAATCTCAATTCAGTAGGAATATAACAAGGTGTTTGGACTTATCTTAATTTGGAGAAAAAAAAATCCAAAGCTTTCTCTCAAGAAAGTAACACGCATCTTGAAAGACAAGCTAAGCACAAATTTATTGATAAATTTGATTAAAGAATGTGTCAATTTCGAAAAGAAATTGAAAGAAATGAGCTTTTGCTGGTGGAGAAGAAGAAAAAGAAGGGAAGAAAAGGGTGGGAGGTGTGCGGGCTATGGGCTACATGCTTACTGTTAATCATAGACCAGGATGGATAGGCCTAGAATTGGATATGCCTCGGTTGTTGAGTGTCGTAAGCGGGCCATTTGGGTGATTCATGTTGAATAATGGAACATTCACTGGGATTTGTAAAATGCCACCGTAACAACTCATTAGATGAGAAAAATTACTAATCATTATAAGTGAGTAGGAAGCATCCACTAGAATCCAGGACTTTCTTTATGTGCTTGTTAGCAGAGGTAACAGGAGTTTCACTTGTTGCTGCTGTTTGTTGTGCTTTTGTTATGCATTTTCTCCCCCATTTTCTTTTTTTTCTCTCTAACTAAAATCAGAACAACTTCCTGCTTAGGCTTTTATTTGTTTCCAATGTTATTGATTCAATGTTATTCCACTTAAGTGAAAAATTCCAGAAGAACTAGGAAGAAACTGCGATGCGAGTAAGTATGGGAATATGCTTATAATATATTATCTGGTTAGAGACGTCTCTAGCATTCCAATTTTAAGTTTTTATCTATAACGGGTGTCCTTGTTTTAGAAAAAAATGTCTTTTTAAAAGTGCCTCGAAGCATATGTAACATATGTTCCATGTCTTTTTGGGTCCGCTGAGTCTCTGTAGCCGACTGCTAAAATGGTTTTGCTTGTTTATTTCAAAGGGATCCAAAAGCTAGTTTGGGCATACAAACAGATGCTTTTCTCATTTGATTCCTATGGTGATTTGATGTTTTCCTCTCATCAGTCCCGTGGTAGCTGAAAGAGTGATAACAACGTAGGATCGTCATGTACATTTGAATCGGCGCCTCGATAGTTTCTTGTTTTCTTGGTGCATGTAAGATTAAAAGGGAGCTCGATCTGGTGTTTGTTGCCCTAAATATTTATGAACTCCACTATATTATAAGGAAAAATTATAAAGAACAGAATTTTAATTCACATTTTTTCAATTAATTGAAAAACTTAAATATTTTAAAATTATAGGATAAAAAATAAAAGTCAAAAGTAAAAATATAGCAATTCTAAAGAGCATGAATATAATTTTCAATTTAATGTCTTTTAACTTTCGAAATTTTTTGAATAAATCTAAATTATTTTTTAAAATTTTAAATAAACACATTTTTAAATTATTTTTTCTCGAATTTGCTTATAGAAAACATGTAAAAAAAATTGCAAATAAAATATCAATCATAATGATGATATACTATTTATTTTACTTTAGTCTATTGAAAATTTTACCAATACAAAATATTTATTTTTTTTAAACAACCTGAATTTTTATATTCAAAATCTAAATGGATTCCACATTTTAGAAACTTGGATTATTCGAATATAATTTTCTGATATGCAAAATTTAGTTTTTATATTTATTTGAATAATAATTGAACATTATTTTAATAATAATTGTATTAAGTATTTATAATGTATTAAACATTCATTTGGAGTCGTTCGCCGGAGCTACGAAACAAGGATAACGAGAACTACAAAACAAAAAGTCTGAAGAATGGCTAAAACTAAAATAAAATAATTTATAAAGTATTCATTTGGAGTTGTTGGTTGGAAGTTACCTGCAAACTGGTAAGGAAAACGAGAATTAGAAAACAAAAAGTCTGAAGAGAAATCATACCTAAAACTGGAACAATATGCAAGCTTGGTTCTCAAGCCTACTGAATGTTTTGGTCACGTCATTCATCACAGCAGCAGAAGCAGGGCCTCGCATAGCATTTGGACCTGTGCATATATAATCCAAAAGAACTAAGTGACAAATTTGAAATGTATTGAAAATGCACAAGTTATGGCATAGAGGACAAATTAACCTTTGGCTAATTACTATGTTGCTAAATGAGACATATCATAGGAGGAGTGCAAAATAAATTCAAGCATCATTTCCTTGGACTAGATTGCCCTAAAGTTTGTGAAATGCATAAGGTGACAAACAGAAAGAAACAAATTAGGCCTGGGTTTTGATTAGGACTTCAAGGCAATCAGCACCCATGCACTATCAATCAATCTTCACCGATCAACTATATCTAAAAATCTGAAACATGGTAACACAAGAAAATATGTAGTCAAACAATAAACATGTCAAAAAGTAAAGAGGCATGGAGATTGAGTAAACTGCAGCATATGAAGACCATAACAAAAATCCAAGGTGTCAAACGGAAAGAAACAAATCGGGTGTAGGCTTCGATTAGAGTTTCGGAGTAGTGAACATCCATTCACTACAGATAAAATCTTTACCAAATCAGAAATTAGGGTTCCTTACAGCTTTGTCTGCATCAACTATATATATATATAAGAATATGAAACATGGTAACACAATAAAATTAAAAATCAACCAAGAAACATGTCAAAGTACTCTAAAGATTGATTAAATGACAGCATATAAAATAAGTCTGCGAAAATACTAAAAGATCATCAAGGCAAAAATCCAAGATGATGATTAAAAAGACATGATCAGGATCAAGAACCAACCAACTCTTATCAAATCAGGGATTAGGGGTCCCTGTAGCTCGAAATTTCTTCCTAAAGCCAACAATATATCAACGATTAATAAGAACCTGAGACATCGGAACACCAGCAATCTAATAATTGATCAAGAAACATGCCAAAGTATGGAGACCTGCAGGGTGATAGAACTATATTATATGAAATTTATTTAATAAAAAGAAAGAAATTAGGGTAATTGATCATAACACTTTTATCAGGTCAACCAAGATTAAATAAAAATAAAAAATTAGGATCATGATTGCATAAAGGTTTAAGATCTTGACATATCCACTTAAGCGATAAAATGATTCGTAACGTCAGTAGTTCTTGGCCTGAGGACGATAGCGTCAACGTAGACTTGGACCTTCATCATGGTAGTTCGACTATCGCCCTCATGGATTTCGATCTTGCCCTTAAGAAAGGAGCTTCGGACACCACTAAGGGACTTCAAATACTACTGACAGATAACGGAGGTGGCAGGCCTAACCGATTGCTCTAGGAGATGTATGGAAGGGATTGCTAAGATAATCACAAAAGAGCTAGTAATTAGGGGCATATATTGATCATTATCTCTTATCGTCATCCCAAATCCACTCCCTCTCTCTCTCTCTCTTCTCTCTCTCTCTCTCTCCTTCTCTCGTTTGAAACCCAAGCAAATTCTTAAAGTCTCTATACATATACTCACGGGTCTGTCCGCATGAGTCACACCAGTAAGAAATCAAGTAGGATCATAGCACATACAATGAGTGTATAAAATGATTGAGCTCTCTTCATCGTTGATATTCTTCCAATAATTGAGTAATAGAAAGCATTGATGATCAAGAAAGTTTAATAATTTATTTGTGATGAAATATATAAAAACCAATGTAGTTACCTTTGGTGGGGGTAACCTAATATGAGGCTAGGGGTAATAAACTACATGACCCGCATTCTACTCCAATTAACCCATGTGAGTATGTGTGGGTTTGCCACCGACTTGCATCATTTTAATCAGGCTTTTGTGTAGGGCTTTAATTGGCAATAATAGGCATTCACTATTGTCTAAATAAAAATATTAATTAATTTAGATTTGAGAAAAGAAAACATATATCTAGAGTTGTAGGGACAAATATACTATTCCTAAAATTTTGTCAATGTAAACACGAATTTCTTTGAATCCACCCAAGCCAACCATAATCATATGTTCAAAAACTGGATAGTCTAATTGTTTATTTATCTTTGGGATATTCATTATATATATGTATATATAGTTAGTTAGTTAGTTATATATCCTCTTCAAATTTGAGTCTATGCAAATTTATTTTTAATGTATGTATTCTCATAAAATTCAGAATTTTATATATTTATATTTAAAATTAATACAACTTTAGATAATGTTTGTATTCCCATAATTTTATATATTTATATTTAAAATTTTAAAATACATTTAAAAATAATATATTATATAAAATATATTTAAAATTAAGATTCCCATGAAATTGCAAATGACATTAATACCTTGTGTTTTCAAATGCTAGTGCAATGAAGGATAAAAAAAAAGAAAGGGAATTTAGGTATTGAAAAGGCTTTTATATGTTTTAACTTTATTAAGTTATTGGTAATTCTTGTTAAACATAGTAGTAGTAGTAGTAGTAGTACGGATGACATAACGTATCTAAATATCTAGAGAGATAAAAAGTTAATAGATGATGTTATTATTTCAAATTTTTTTTGGGGGTCGTTATTTCTTCTATTGGACTCGCTTAAATCCAACACATTCAGTACATTTCTCATGTTGCGAGTAAGTATATTTCGACTTCACTCTTGAGGGAACGGTATCATAAATCTTGGATGATCTCTAGGAGCCGGAGATCGATGGCCATGGGGAGGACGACGGTGGAGGCCAACTGTATCTATTCATATGTTCAATTCTATATACTACTCTTCCCAATCATACGCCTGATTTGCTTTTGAAATCTTTTAATATCTTGTACTACATTTTGCCTTAATATGATTTGATCATATTGATTCAACATGATCAAATCATATTAAGGCATGTAAAGATATTAGTCTCTGGCACCAAAATCATCTTTTATATCTCCTAAACGTATTTTTGTCTGTGCATCAGTCTAATTTTAATGAACGGAATCCCATATGAGA